ACATGCTTGTTGTTGAAGTACCAAAACTAGGAAAAGAGGCTGCTATTAATGCAATCAAAGAATGGGGCCAACCAAAATCCAAAATCACCCACTTGGTCTTTTGCACCACTAGTGGTGTTGACATGCCCGGTGCCGACTTCCGCCTCGCCAATCTCCTCGGTCTGCAACCATCCGTTAATCGTTTCATGATGTACCAACAAGGTTGTTCTGCCGGTGGCACAGTTCTTCGCCTAGCCAAAGACCTAGCTGAGAACAACAAAGGTGCTCGAGTCTTAGTCGTCTGTTCTGAAATCACAGCGGTAGCATTTCGTGGGCCTAGTGACACCGATCACAGCGGACTTTTGGCCCAGGCCTTGTTTGGTGATGGTGCAGCTGCAATTATAGTTGGATCGGACCTAGTGCCCGGGGTTGAGAAGCCTTTGTTTGAGATCATCTCAGCGGCCCAAACCACTCTCCTTGATAGTGAAAGTGCCATCACATTACAACTTCGTGAAATGGGCCTTACATTCCATGCGAGCAAGTGTGTTCCTGGGCTTGTCTCCATGAACATAGAGAAGATCTTGGTGGAGGCATTTCAGCACATGGGCATCTCTGATTGGAACTCTATTTTTTGGATTTTACATCCTGGTGGGCCTGCTATTTTGGACCAGGTGGAATTAAAGTTGGGCCTTAAGCCCGAGAAGTTATGGGCCAGTAGGCTTGTCCTAAGAGAGTATGGTAATTTAGCAAGCGGATGTGTGTTGTTTGTACTGGATAAGATGAGGAAGAAGTCAGTTGAGAATGGGCTTAAGACCACTGGTGATGGGCTTGAGTGGGGCGTGCTTTTTGGGTTTGGGCCTGGACTCACTATTGAGACTGTGGTGCTCCACAGTGTCTCCACTTAATGGGCTTAGCTCATAAGTATCCCTATTTTTTTCCCCCTTCAATATGTGGTTTGCGTTTGTGGATTGGGTTTGTTGGTTCCACTTCATTATGACTATTTTAAAGTATGATTGAACTTATGTACTCTGTTCAAAATAATAAACAAAATAATAATCAGTGTGTTTGATTTTAATTTTTTAAATTTAATTATTTAAAAATTTGAGTTTTTTATTTTTCGTGTTTTTTTTTTGTTTTTAGTGAATATTTTTAAAATTTTAGATAATTATTTTACTGTTTTACATGTACTTTGCTTAGATGTATCTAAATAGTAAAATATTTGTAAAAAAATATTTTAAAAAATTAATAAATACACATAAATATGAAAATGTAATAAATTTTCTTTTTTTTTTTTGTATCTTTTGGTATTTAGTGTATTTTTTAAAGATTTTTTTTCACAAATACTATACTTTTTAAGTGTATTTATGTTAGGTGTGTCTAAAAATTAAAAAAAAAAATTGCTTAAAATATTAAAAAATTCATTGAAAATATTAAAATAAAAAAAATAAAAAAGTAGAATTTTTTGAAAACTATTTTCTGAAAATTGGAACCAAACAAGCTGAATAATAATAATAGTAATAATAAATGCACTGAATTATAACTATGATAAATGGAATACTTGGAGATCATAATTTGAGATATTAATTATGGAGATCCTTTAATAAAAATCAGAGTTACAGTTGTTGAGGATTATGGCTATGAAATCTACCACTGTCACTCTCAAACTTGGCTGGCATGGCCTTGCTTTCATGGAGTTGGCTTGGCTTGGCTTGGCTTGCTCTGCATTGGAGAGGAGAGGGGAGGATCACCCTCAATTTGTCCTGTTTAAGCTCCAAAACCACAGTAGAACAGAGTAGTTATTTCTGTTTTATTTTTGCTCTATTGCCTTGAATCATAGAACAGAGTGCTCTGTTTTTTATAGTGACAAAGAAGTGCATGTCTCCTTTAAAAATGGTAGTACTTCTTGACAGCATAACCAACTTGTTCCTTTGTTTTCTATTGGCCTGCCAATTTTCCTTTGCCAACCAACACATAAGACCATCCCAATGGTCTGCTATATATTGCCAATGCCAAAATTTGACAAGAGTTCCCAAAAACAACACTACAATGGGCTCTGCCAAAACTCTTGCCAAATTTTGACAATGTCATTTGTTGTGCCAAGTTAGCATTATCAAAACAATTTGATTTCTGTGTCACAGAATTTCAAGCAACAAACAGAAATATTATCAACAATCTGAAAAATCAAAATTTCTACAACCAATGCGAACAAAAAAAATTTACAGAAAAATAAAAATTTATCAAATCAGGATTGTGATCACAATGAACCCAGAAAAATTGGCATTGCAAAATTTCCAAGAAATGCACATTATTGTCGAGTTCTTTATCTTCGTCTTCGTCTTCATCTTCATCATCAGGTTTGTGATCATAGTAAACCCAGATTTGAAACCATATCCGAAACCCAAATCATTGATATTGCCTTCCGAACCCAGATTCGAAACCTAACACTCTGATTGGATTGGGTGATTTGGTGAGAAATAATGACAAATTATGAGATTGAATAAGAAATGGTGAGAAATACATCTCTTACTAAGTTTATTTTATTTGTCATCAAAAGTGATGAGTATTTGTGAGAAACAACTTGATTGGTTATAAAATATTAAAAATACTGAGATTGTCTCTTAAAATACGAAGAAAGAAAAATAAAATAAAAATCTCACTCATATTTTTTTTCTTTGTTTTCTTACTCATCCAAATATGATAGTGTGAAACACAATCACTTCCTTTATTTTTTCCCTCTATGATCCAATCAGATTTGTGTATGTGAGAGAGAGGAGACTGAGATTGAAGTTGAGACTGAGAAGGAAAAAATGTAACAAATGTTAAAAGACAACCTTAAGAGTTGTCATTAGTCTTGATATGTGTATAAAAAGTATATAGACATATATAAACCTTGTGTTTAAATTTATAGAATAGTTACAAAATATATATATTTTGTACTCCATTTGTTTGCTTCTTAGTGACAGTTCTTAAGGCTATCATTAGCATGACTCACAAAAAACCCTTGACAAACTAGGAATTGGGCTGTTAACACTTTGATGGAGCCTATTTGGGATCCATCTTGATGATTGAAATAGTTTATCTGGTAGAATACATCGACCAAGTCATTTATGCAAAAATGTTATTTTGATAATAAATACATTAATTTTAAAAAATATATGTTATTCAATCATATACTATAGTTATTATTACCTAATCAATTTAAATTGTTATACAATAAATATTCTCTAACAAATTTTGTAAAATAAATAATTCAAATAATCTCCACCAAGCTAAAATAATTCAAATGGTGTGTGAGTTGTTACTGAGCTCTCTCTTCTCGCTCTCTCTCTCACTCTCTCTCCCTTCACTCTCTGATTACTGTGAAATGGTGCATCCGATTATTGTGAAATGGTGTGATTGCGAAGGGCTCTCCCTTACGTTTTGTTACCTTCTCTTCCTAGTCTTACCCATCCCCCCCCCCCCCAAAATACCCCTTCATATTTTGCAAGAATTTAAATAAAGCAAAACAATACAAGAAAAAAAATTCTAGGGTTTCTGCTTTCCCTTCTCGGAAACCCTATTCTTCTCTAGGAATTCAGATTTCTTTTCTTTTCTTTCTTTGGTATTTCTTCTTGTCTCTTTTTCAATTTGTTTATTTTCTGTTTGGTTCCTGAGAATTTGAAGGAAATCTTGAGAATTTTGGACTTCAATTGTCTTAATTTTTTCAGGAGCTAAGTGGGTAGTTCAATGTTTTGTTTTTGATTGTTCTAATGAGAAGTTTATTAGTAGAAAGTTTGCTTCTTTAATTTCATTTGTCTTAATCAAGTTGGGGTTCTTTGTTTTTGGGCGCCAACCAAATGGTTAAAAATTCTAGGTGTGCTAAATACTATTGTGATAATTGAGTTTGTTTTTGTTTGACTTTCTTTGCAACTAAACTGGTTGTTATGCTTATCTTGTTGGGAATTGAAGACCAAGCGCTTCGCATATGCTACTTATTTTGTATTTTTATTAAGTTCCTGTCTCATCTCAAACTATGGGCTTTAGTTAGTTCATTGGTGATAATGAATTAATGTTTATATGTTGAACAAATCTGGTACTTTTCTAAAATTTCCATATTTGTTGCATTAGACTTCAGCATTTATGTTATGATGAAAGCTTGAGTTGAACATACTTGCTGAGAAAATGGGAAGTTGCTCTGTGTCTAGAAAATGTGATAGAGTGCTGCAGACTTGTTTGTCCTTTCTATTGAGTTCAAATGGGTACTTCATTGGAATATGATAAATTTTGTAACAAATTATATTCGGTCATCTGCACTAATTTAGATGATGTGAAGGGTAAGGATGGGTGTAGGAATTGATATATTCGAGAGATGGGTACACTTGAAATTCTTTTAGTGGAAGACCAAGATTTTTTTTTGGATAATAGAGGATGTCTTCTTGCTTCCCTCATTAAAATTTTGCTTCATTTAAGATAGGAAAATGGAGGAAGATGAACTTTTATTTAACTTCATTTAACTTCATTTCTGATGATGGGTGTTATTGTTTTGGTCTTTTCTTGGTTCATATGTAAGATGTGTGCTTAGATTTGTGTTAGAAGTATTATCTCAATCATTTTTCATAAAACTTGAATGAGAAAATGACCAAATGAAATGTATTATACAATTAACTTCCCAATCAATTTTAGAGGATTTGGATTCAATTCTTCCCAATTAATGCAGAGGCATGTCATCCCCTAGTAACTATTCTTCTAGTGATGAGACCTTGGATTTGAGGTATGAGGCTTTGAAATGTGATTGTGGTCTAAGAGCTGCCATAAGGGTTACCGAGTCTGACAAGCCATCTAAAGGGAGATTGTATTTCATTTGTGAGAAGAGAAATTGTCAATTTTGGAGGTGGTGTACCCCAAAATCTGTGATGATGGTAGAGAGGTAGAGGAATGAGAGAATGCTTTATCAAAATCAAAATATCGAGACTGTAGGACTACAAGTCAAGAACCAAATGCTTGAGCAATCCTTAACATTCATGAACCAAATGCTATCTAGTTTACCATAAATCATTATACTAAGCTGTGTACCCAATGAATGTTGATATGTCTATCCTAATTGCCATGTATGGTTATTTTGTACTAATCTTATGTTGTAATGCAAGCAATGATGCATGAGTTTGTTTTGAAGAATGTTTTTCTTTCATAGAATGAGTACCCAAGAGGAAACACAATCTGAAAATAGGAAGAACAAGAGAAAATCCTCTCAAGTACCATCCATTAAAGCTCACTGGGATGCAAAATCAAATGAAATTTTTATTAAGCTTTGTGTTGAGCAAGTGAAGGCTGGATATAGAACTGGTACACACTTCGATAGGGTCGGGTGAAAATGTGATAAGTAAGTTTAAAACTATGATTAGAAAAGCATACCAACGAATACAAATGAAAAATCATTGGGATGTTTTGAAAAACGATTGGTTTTTATGGAATTATCTTTTAAGGGGTGAGACAGGCTTAGGCTGTGATATATTGATTGGAGCTATCTCTGTATCTGATGAGTGTGGACCTAGAAATTAGAGGTAAGTGAATTGCTTAATGTACATTTCTTTTCTTTTTTTAAAATAGGCCAAATTGTTAAATTTTCCTTTGTAATCGTTGCAAAGGTATCTTGATGCTACTAAATTTCGGCATATGCCGTTGCAATTCACTAAAGACTTAGACATACTATTCTCAAATGCAGCTGCTATAGGAGAATAGGCATACACCCCCAGCTTAGGGGTTATGCCTCACACTGATGAGACTCTGGAGGAATTTCATACCCCACATGATGCCGAATTTCATGATGATGCTGATTTGAGGTGGTTTATCCTTCTGATTTAAACAAAAAACGTCCATCAAACATTGATGGTTCATCAAACAAGGGCAAGGCAAAGAAGAAAGTTTCTAGTGCAGTTCTACTTAACAAGACACTTGATCGTATAGTCAATGTGGTTGAGTCATCTTCAGCAACTTCAACACAAACCTCATCAAGATATCCTTCAATTGCAG